AATAAAAAAAAATTATATTTTGTATATAAAAGCATTGCAATATTTACTGATAATCTGTTAAATCTTGTTAACATTTGCTTAATAAATTAAAAGTTATAGCATAAACTATAACAAGCACAAAATGGCTACGAGGTCGGTCCCAGGGACCAAGCACGTGCTGAAAAAGAGTTAATTACTATATAACTTTTAAACCACCACCAAACAAAAGTACTTATTTTGCCCAAAGTATAAATAATACTAAGCTGAGATGCTTGGAATACATATCTTTTCTCCAAGAATGTGACACTGTGGAATAAATGGATAACATACAATTATTTGCACTAATTAATAAATTTCATTAAACTATAATGAAGAATGTATATCATTTAAAAAAAAAAATGTATCAATGAACCAAATTAAGTTGCATACGTAGTAAATTGATACTGTTTCAAGAATGATAATGAAATTAGTTCTGTTAAATTAGTGTTGTGAATTGCAAGTTTAACCATATTTGAGTTCTGTCACTTATTATTTACGTATAATAATATGGTACCATCATGAACCACTATAGTGGTTCATATGAATTTCTCAAAAATTCTAATAGATCATAAGGGCAAAAACCAGCTGAAGAAGCAGACTTGTTCTTCAAACAATCCCAAAGACCTATTTCAATGTCTAAGGGTACTAAAATATTGATAATGGCGAAAAAAAAAGTTTATTTTCTGATTGCGAGACAAAATTCATCCATTTGTTCTTCATATTATTATTAATCTTGCTTCACAACCCTTCAAAAAAAAAGTTATAAATATTTTGATGAAACCCATTGAATAAAAAAACTATGCAGGTCAAAATTCTATTTATATGTTGGTTTTTTTCATTGCTACTGGCCAAGTTTCTCTTCAAAGCCATTTAAACACCAAAACCTCCAGTAAAAATGGCTGGTATACTGTGCCACAATCTATGCACAGCTACTAAACAAACCTCTGAGAAGGTTGTAGTGCTATTTTTAAGTTGATTCTTGAAAGTCGATATTTCAACACTAAAGTTCTTTGCTTTCAACATTAGCTCTTGGATGCCATTCGAGCATCACAGAAATGTAGAAGTCACTTAAGCAATGTTATACTAGTCAGAAACACTTCATTTTATTAGAGTAAACAATGTGTATACTTACAAGTGACTCCATCCTTATTATTATAGATTATAGTTGCTACAGAAAAAAGGGGTAAGAAGATTTTTATTGAAACCTGGACAATAGTAATAAGTATGCCACAGGATGGTTCTGAAATTAATTCAATCATGTTTGTTCTGTTTTTCTCTGAAGAATTTTTCTTAAATCTTTCACTTTCTGCCATTGAAAAATTCTGGTGTTTTACTAATGTGCATTAATTAGAAAATAAATTGTGCAACTTATAGCACACTAATTGGAAGCTGCCATGTTGGGGATTCATCATTTCTCAAGTTTGCTGTTGTACTTTGTCTAGACGTGGTTCTATGCAACTATTTCAGTAACTTTTCTAACAGTATATGATTATCACAGATTTTTCTACCCTTGTGAGTGGGGATACATTCAGTTGAACATTTTACTGCTGCATTGGCTTTTCACCACCCAACCATTAGTTACCGAGCCAGGTGGTTTTGTGTAAACACACGTTTAATAGGGCATTTGAGTACAAAGGAAGACACGACAACATAGCATAAATTATGCATTTATAGCCACATAAATCAACTTTCTAAATAGGTTTCAAGTAGTATATCTGTCTAGGTTTTTGTGGAAAATACCCAGCCAATTTTGCTGTATAGCTTTTGAAACAAAAATATGAAAATAATACTAAAATATGCAGTTACAATTTCAGCAAAGTAAGAAAATTAGTAAAATAAATAGCTTAAAATGTATTCATGTATACTCCATAAATGGACATAAAATACTTGAGAAATAAGATAATTAAAGATTGCTAATTTAAAAAAGAGAATAGGGATCATCAAGAAAGTACAGAAAACTAGTTGAATCAAAATGCATAGATTATATTTTCAAGCCTACAACTAGATTGGAAATACTGTCTACATTATTTTCTCAAGTTACAAATAACTATTTTGACTCCATGTCTACAGTACTTATTAATTTTAGTAAAGGCAAAATAGGTATTTGTAACTTGAGAAATTAATGTAGACTATTTCCAGCCTAGTTTGTTTACTTTTTTTTAAAGAGTTCCTAGTTTTATGTATGAAAATATAATCTTTGCATTTTGATTCAATTTGTTTGTGTACTTTTTTGATGATTGATTCCTCTTTTGAAATTAAATTTTTTTTATTATTTTGTATTAGTAAAATATCTAACAAGGTGAGATTATATTATCTGTTTAAAAGCATGGTGTTTGTGTTGAAAAAGTTCATAACAATTTTCCACAGGCACATTAAACTAATATGGCACTTTATTAGTCAAGTACACAACTCAAAGTGATATACCAAATCCAATTTTAACTATATCACTGAATCCACACTTTAAAATTACACTTGTGATTACGAATAATATTTTTATTAGTGGAATACTTGCATCTGATACAAGTTTTATGGGGAAAAATATGGCAACTGAGATTCCTTTTTATGGTTTCCTGACAATCAATGTCACATTACATAAAATACTAGATAAACAATTGTTACTGGTGAATCATAATTGAAGAAGTTATTAATACACTAAATTTGACACAATAAAACTTGTTTACTATTTATTAATCTCAGTATACTTTGGGATTAGCAAACACTTGAACATTAATCACTTCTTCCACAGCTGCTTTGAATTTATACATTTTAACAATTTGCTTAAGTCAAATAATGCTTATTGAAGAAAGCATTTTCAGGTTATTATAACAGTAGTAGCCTTGTGTCTTCAGCACCGTCCCAGTACCATAGCCAGAAGTGCCATTCTCACGTACAAACCACATTCGGCTTGACGAAAGTATGCTGCTCGTGGGTCTGTGTCAATCTCGGAACTACAAAATAATAAGTAACCATTAGAAAGATCTAGTTCCTTATTAATAATTAATATTTTATTCAACCCTCAAATTACTAACTCGTTTTTATTCCATTCACTATTGGTTGCATTTATATATTGCTCTTGCAGAGAATATCATTGTATAAAGAACCAACCAAAGGGTAAAATCACTCATTTTCTATGTAGTGGGATTAACTGCAATATCAATGATATTTTACTCAAATTTCTATTATTAGAGATCATGTAACCAATAACTATGAACCCACAAGAAGGTTAACACGTAATAAAAACATAATCCATTCTTTAATAGTACAGTAGTAATAATGTATGTGCCCCTGTTTTCAAGCACTATTCTTTACACAAATAACATTTAAGTGGTTTAAACAATAAAAAAACATGAGATTTGCTAAGTTTTGTCAGTGTTCTGCTCTACCTGTGCATCAAATAATTTCTATACTTATAGATTTTAAGATTTTTATCAACTGTACTATTTTATATACTCATTCATTTTAATAGCACAAAATCACACATGGGGCCAGAACTAAATATCGGTTACCTGCCTTTGAAGTTTGGTTGTGACAAACAGAAAAGTACATTGGAACACATGGAGAGGGATGGACAAATCTAAATGCCCCCCATAAAACTTCCTGGGAGATTTAAGAGTGCATGTCATGTTTATTTGAGATTAATAAAAACATGTGAAAGCATGAAAAGTGGCTACATAGATAACATTTCTGTTTTATACACGTCAATTCACCTGGTGTCATAAATGAATGTTCAATGACTGGTAGGCAGAAAACTGACAACCAACATTGTAACGGTTTGCAATACAATGTACAATAAAATACGTTGAAATTTACTTTTCATTTAACATTGTATATAGATTTTGTTTTTAATAAATATACAATGACAATAAGCTTTGTCTCTATAGGTTTTACAAGTAGTAAAATTAGTGATACAGAAATAGGTTTCTGTCACATCAAAGCAAGCTAAGACAAGAGAATGGTTAACCATCAAGAGTAGAGATGGGTATACAATACTGTTTATATTAGTTAAACTAAAAGTGTGGATTTAAGTTTAATTTTACCAACAGTACAGTTTTATGAAGATCATAAAGCAGTGAAGCATTTGTTGAATGTTTTAAAAGTAATAAATGGTTGCTTGAAGATCACCTATTCATTCAAGAGTACTGATCAAGCTATAAAACCTTGAGTCTGACCATTTATCAGAATGCAGTAACTGGTTTCTTCTCATAACAGTAAAAACATTATAGATCTATTTGATAAGTCGTGTATTGTTTTCCAGTTTTTACATATTAAAAATTTCTCATAATAAATAGTTTCAAAATTCATATTTCTTTATTGAATACACTTAAAACTTAATGACATCAAGCTTCTAGTGAGAAGCCCCCTGCTTAATACTTGTGATATGACCGACCATATTCCTCAATTTGCTGCTTAAAAGTTTTACTGTATCAGTGCATGCTTTTTATATTGGTTGTTGACAATACTTACAAATGTTTGATTAATAAATTTATATTTATCCAGCAAGAAATACAATGTGCACATGCAACAATAACTATTTCCTAATGTTTCATTATTGATAAGCCTTATTCTTAGGCCTAACTTTCCGAGCATGTAGAACATACATTTTAATAACAATGAAATACTACGATACTAAATGTTATGTATAAAATCTGGCATAAAATGGATATGTCTCAAGATATGTTTATATATTTTGTAAAATGGTTTGTCATTTTAATGAAATATATAAAAATATTTCAACATTTAACTGGATGCTATAAGTTCTCTGTTTGCTATTCCCTATTGGGCAGATTGTAAGGGTCTGGAGGTTGTACTGGTTTGATGTTGATAATCATAATAAATTTATTAATATACGTCTTTTCAATCCGTAGTATTCTTTTATACTGTTTGAAGATTGAAATCTGCAAGTATTTCTAATTCCTGATCCATTTTTTACACAATCTCACAGAATTATCTTACAGGCTTCATTCAATATGAATGCCCAAACTTTTTGTCTATCAAAATCTGCTGACAATTTGAGAGATTGATAATTGGAAATTTATATTAAACCAAAAGAAATTTGCAACATCATTTTTCAAATTATAAGCTTTAAAGAATATTTTTCACATCATTGAAATGCTAAGTTTATAGCATTGATGACTTTTACCAGTTCATTTGTTATCCGGACAGGGATAATCAGTTGCACAATGTTAGAAATAATAGCACTGTTATCAACAAAGGTTTTCTTATAGTACACTATTACATAATCCTGACAAGCACCTTTTCCTTTTAATTCCACACTTCACAAAGCATACCACACATCTGTATTTCTTCACTGTGAGTTTAATAAGCTTTCTGGAAACCAATGTGGCAGGACATAATTAGCTTCAAAACAATATGAGTGACTAAATTTCACTGGATAATGAACTTTCTAATGTGTAACCAAGTGACTGACTGTACTGAACAAGTTGTGATTTTACTGTTCAGTATTTAGGGTGTAATAGTGTAGACTTGTCCAGTGGCTACCTTATATTTGGTATTCATTTACAAAGTAAAAGATTTAAACATTTTGAAATAGAACAAAAGACAGATCTTGAAATTTAGCATAAACTGTAGTTTTCTAACAAAACAGCTGGTACCATCTTTAAACAATATTATCTAAAATTTATCACACCTTGTAATGATAAACTAAAGCTGTCTAAAGATTGTTCCCACATAAAAACATTGATGCAATGTAGAGAAAAAAAGAGCCTACATATAGGATTTGATACACATGGAAAAATAAGTATATGGAAATGAGCAATTTATTTCTCCAAATATACTTTATGGCAGTTAGTTACGAGACAAAACTTGTCAGGTTTTGTATGTATGGATGGGCCAGATTCTTTACAATAGATGTCTGTAACTTGTTGGTGATAAAAGCACAGTCCACTTGTTTTAAAATAATATATTAAAGCAAGTCAAATATAGATACAAATGTACGTTACATGGTTAATTACTACAGTTGTATCCAGAGTTTTAAGAAATTGTCTCGTTTTCGCCAAAGTTCACACAGGCTGGTTCAATTACTTTACAACACAAATGACAAGACAAATTATTTATCCTATACTCTGTTACTACAATACAACCTGTGATTATTTCACTTTAGAAATGACCACTATATGCCCTTTATGGCTATACTCACATTCACTTAGTCTAGATCTATCTATCTATGTTTTACTATATAACTACCTTGAACTACATTTTGTTAGAGTATTTATAGCCTGACTGAGGCCTAGAATGTTAGAATACTATGAGATATTATGATGCAATAATACTGAATTGAAACAACAAGAAAAACTTAGAAGGTTCTAGTAACATGTCACAATAATACAAGCATTAATTCACAACAATTGAACTACACAACATATGACTCATACACATTTACATAAACAAATGTGATAAACTATTGCTTTTAAAAATAATTAAGTTTAACATGCTATACTTAATTTGAAACAGTCATGAATAACAATAATCCCCTCTTCAAAACATATTTACAACATTTCTTATACTAAATACTAAGACTGTTTTCAGTTCATACACAAAGTCTACTCATACAGTCTGCACCAACATTTGCAATCCCATGATAGTTTCAATGCAGAACCAGTAGTATTGGAGATACAATGCCCACCTCGTGATCCTCACACTGTCAATTTTGCACCTCTGGATGTATGCAATGAGCTGATGGTCCACTTGGATGATAAAGTCCTTTCCATAGAGATAGTTCTGGAATTTTCAGATGGCAAATATGATGGCCAGAAACTTTTGTTCAATCACAGAGTAGTTCTTTCCTTTCCATAGAGATAGTTCTGGAATTTTCAGATGGCAAATATGATGGCCAGAAACTTTTGTTCAATCACAGAGTAGTTCTTTCCTTTCCATAGAGATAGTTCTGGAATTTTCAGATGGCAAATATGATGGCCAGAAACTTTTGTTCAATCACAGAGTAGTTCTTCTTACTCTTCACAGCTTTTTACTGACATATGTTACGGGAAACAGTATGTCTACATGTTCTTGCAGAAGTACTGCTCCAATTCCAACGTCTGATGCATCGGCCTAAACAATGAATGGTTTGTCGAAGTCTGGCATTTCAAGGATTGGCAAACTTCCTGACATGTTTTCTAACTTCTGGAATGCCATTTGTTGTGGTTGTTCCCACTTCACCATGTTGGGTTGGCTTTTCTTGGTCAGGTCAGTCAGTGGTGCAGCAACTTCAGCTTAGTTTGGGATGATCTTCCTATAATATCCCACTAACCTCAGGAAGGATCTAACTTGCTGCTTGGTTGTTGGAGCTGGTGCATCTTGTATGCTGATTAGCTTCTCCTTTTCCATGGCTATCTGTTTGTCACCCATCTTGTGTCTAACAAAGTCTAGCACAGAATAATCAATGTGACACATAGATAGTCAAATGATCAGACCTGCTGCCCTCATTCGTCCAAACAGCTATCGGAGTTTCTTCGAACTTCATCACATGGTTAAATTTTCGGAAGTCTATGCAGAAGCGGTTTGAGCCATATGATTACCACCAGTGAATAGTAGCCCGAATTCGAGGGCTCAATTATTCCGGCTTCTTGATCAGGTCTCTCATCATATAGAGCATCTGGAAGGGCTTCATCTTGACTGAATCCCTGGTTGTGGTCTCAATCTTGTGTTACAAAAGGTCCATCTTTCCTGGTCTATCCGTGAAGACATATGCATGTTGGAACAATAGATCCTGTGGTGCTTTCTTCGGCTTACCAGTCAGTTCTTCACCGAAGTTGACGTCTCTGTACATTTCATTTCCATCAAGTGGTCTTAGGTCTAGTAGTCTTCATCTTCTTTGACAAAGTCACTGTTACAGTAAACTTGTTTTAATATATTATTTTTAAACATGTGGACTGTGTGCTGTTTGTTTATTGTGAAATTTACTGCCAACAAGTCAGAGACACCTACTGTAAAGTGTCCAGCCCACACATACTGACAAAAGTAATTAATTTTTTAGTCATAAACTTATAGACTATTGTACTTTACCTTAGCTGTATGCTTTCTGGATAATTCTTGTCATTTTAGAGCATTGTAACTAAAAGAAATGGTCAGAATGCAAAATAAAAACAAACTGAATATTGCACTGCATTAGCTATGTTAAGTCCTACATGATGTATTTTGGTACTTTACTGATCAGGGCCCTGATGCTTAACCATTAATTAATTACTTTATTAATAAACTCTGAAAAGTGGTAAGTGGCCAATTTCTGAATCCAGCCAAGTATGGTGAGATTCATCACTAGAAGGAATGTTTGTTTTATTTGCACATTTCTATTGTTCGTTCCATAGCAGGATGTTATGACCACGACACAGAATAGGAGAAATACATTTATGATGATACATCTTGATGTAACTGGTAACCAATTAATAAAGGTGGGAGAAATGCAGCGACTGCAAATAGTCACCATGTTATTTATTTATCTATTTACATCCTGATTTGCAACTTTTTAGCTCAGAAGAGTTATTTCTTGTCTATCTTCAAAGAAGTTTTGCATGAATTTCATTTTCCGGAGCAGATGTTGGCTACTTTCTACTAATATCTACTTTTCTCACTTCCATTCTTCACCCAGTTTTGAATCTGATAATCACATACAAAATTTGAGGGAATTTAGCCAGGTAATTTTAAATCAAAATATTTGTGGAGTAAGTATTCTGTAATTATAACAGTTCAATGTTCAAGAGCCCCCCAGATAGCAAGAAAAATTAATTTGTTAAAGGTGGATATGGGGAGTTTCTATATTTATCATGTGGGAACTGTGAAGTTCTCTCACCAACAGAAACTTTTTGTATTTAATTTATGTGTAAAAAAAAATTATGTTTGTACTTTTTCACTCCAGTTTGTTTTTAACCTGGCATACAGGTCTTACATACACTGTCCCAACTCATGCACATCCCATTGTCAAAATTTCTCACTTATAGATCTTACAAGTCTGATTCAATTATAGGAGAAGAGATTAGTTTGTATCATCTCACTGGTATCTAGATATCATATAAATCATGATACGAGCGACTCACGCTAAATGTTAACATTTATTTAATATTAAAATACTGTTTACTTTTTCACCAAATATCAGGATTTACTCATTTATAAACTATTCTCTCTCCTGTAATTTGACAGAATGCTCATTTGACAACAACAAGCTTACATCTTACAGCAAAATATGTTTTAGAAGGCAAAGCGTGTCATTTAGTGATGTTATGTGTTGTAATGTCACCGTAAAATTCATTATTCTTTACTGGCCCAATATAGGTTTCCAGTATGAAGTGGATACAATAACATTTCAAATGTAATCTGTTTGTCATATGCCACCGCTGGTACCTGAGCTCAGCAGACCAGGTGGGCTACAAAATAAAGTTTTGGCTGAAATTTTACTTATATCAGTTATTCATGAGACACTTAACTCATGTAGGTCCCATTTTCCTTTTTAAAGCTGCTTATTGCTTATAAATCCTGTGATTCTGTTTTCATTATGGAAAGAAGAAATTGAGATGTCACAAGAGATATCCCATTACTTGTTCCTTTCAGAAACTTAAGTTTATATAATGTTTAATGAAAAGTACCAAAATGGAATTAGCTACTAAACAATTCTCATAAATCAATAGAATACATTCAAGGGTAGTTAAAAAAATTTCAGCAACTTAAAACAGCACAAACGTTTAACTTTACCTTATTTCATTTAATCGAGGTAAAGGATGCATTACAACCATCCGTTGCTTGGCTCTTGTCATGAGTTGAGGAGTGACGGTGAAGTGTCCACAGCACTGAAAATTAAAAGAATAAATAGTGACATTAAGTGACCAAATATTCCAGTCTTTAATATTTACTGTTTTGTGTACTTTTTAACATAGGCAACTATTTTAAAGGTTAATCAGTAAGTACTAATATACACAAGTCATTACGGAGGGTAGTACTGCCATTTTCTAAAACAACAGAGAGGATGCTAGGGGTTACAATTAGAAATATGACAGTATAGAATAACAGTTACATGATAGTCAGTCAAGTGGAAACTATCATTATCAAAATCACCGTGTCTGTAACTGTAAATAAAAAAATGTTCTATGGCTATAAAAGCTTTTAAATATTAGCAAACAAGAACATAGAAATAAGGTCCTATTAAGAAATATTCATTAGTTAGATTTAAAGAGAAAAACTTGGCTGGGATGAATGCAAGAACTTTCTGTTTTTTAAGCCCCTCATGAGCTAATAAAACCAGAAACTAAAAAAATCATGAACAGGGCATTCAGAGAACTGACATATAGTGTGTGAAGTTAGATGATATACATATGCTTATGCTACTATATGTTTTGAAACATGTTATCTGAATAGGATATCAGCAGGTATTTATTGTTCTAAGGAAAGCCTTACCAGCACTACTTTATCTAATCTAAATACTCATTGACTTTAGACCCATATGCTACAAACTGTGCAGTAGAAACTGTTTAGTTTTAAAATACATGAAATAAAAGGTGCTGACCTTGTTTTTTAAATCTGGAGAAGATACTGCACAACCCATTAAAAACTACTAGGATTATCCACACTGAGCCATTTCCAACACTACATTTATAGACAAAAGTTTATTCTATAAACTGATCATCTGGCACTTGGAGAACTAGAAAAACAGATAGTAAGATGGCTACAAAAACTTGATCCCAGTGCATCGTCCTGAACAAAATGATAAAGGCTGGAGACGGCTTAAATGGGTAATG